CCAGGCCACGCGCCAGGCGGCGGTGCGCGGGACCCCCGGGCTTCGCCTCTGCGGCCTCCGTGGACCGACCGACTGCTTGGAGGCCGACGTCAGGGGGCGCCAAGGAGCCGGGGGGACCCGGGCTCCCGCCTCCCTGCGCCCGCCCGGAGGCTGGGGCTCGGAGGATGCAGCAGGGTGAGCTATTTGGTTTGGGGGCGGGGGTAGTCCTTGCGCACTGAGGCGCGAGCACCTGGAAGGGCCATCTATCTCCAAAGCAGGTCCCATCTAGCGGCGCTCGAACCGCACGCCGGGGTCTGCAGACTTGCACGGTCCCACCCCCAAACTTGGTGCTGATGTTCAGCCCAGACGGGAGCTCGTAGGTCCTCTTGATTCCCGGCGCTGGCCATAAAACCCTGCTTCGCTTAGCGTCTTTGGAGGGAGAGGTGATTTTAGATGTGAGCATCTAACCGATGAAGGAAGTTGGTGATTGATTGGCCTGTAAATACTGCGGGAGAAAATTCTTAGGCACTATTAGCCAACGGTGATCTGTCACATGTGGGCACACACTCACCCTTCTCCCCTTCGCCGTTTCCCAGACCCCTTACATTCCGTTATAATTGGGGAAGAAAAACTATATCGTGGTTGTCTGCTGGACACTTGATAGTGGTCGCTGGTCCAGTGCCAGGAAGGCAAGGCGTGAGCGCTGCGGTGTGCTCTTCTGCAGAGGGCCTCCGCCACCTGGCGAGAAAACTAAAGCTGCGGCAGCATCCTGCAGCGTGTTGCGGCCTTGGCGGGCCAGTGCAGTACTCTGCCCTGCTGCCCCTCAGGCATGCTGGTTTTCCCTCTGTGGGGCTGGGTGATTTGTTTTGTCTCATTTACTCGCGTAAGAATAAAAACCAAAAGACCATGCAATTATATGCTATATGACAAATGATACATTACCACATTTGGGCCATTTCTAGTAACTAGGTTGAAGACTAAATAATTCGTAAAATTGGAATGCTTGCATTGTTTTCTAACTATATAAAACCAATTTGCACTTCTGCAAAAATGCTTAGCCATTAGCTGCTGTTAAGGTGGGTGTTATCAAGCGTGAGCATTAAAAGAAATTCACAAAGATGTCGCTTAGTCCTAAGGCCAGGCTCCTAAGTATGGAAATGCTCTTATTTGCATGCTCGTTTCCTAACACAAATACAGACTGATATGTAACTCAGTTGTTTGGGGCTGAGAATGGAAGGGACCTTGCTTTAAGACACTGAGTAAGGTGGACTCTGGAATGTCAGACTGCAGGGCGCATTGCGTGCCAAACAGGCTTCCCAGGTCCCTGACTGTCAGAAGAGCTGCCTGGAAACACTGCACCATGTGCACATAGCTGAAGGATTTCTGATACTGCAGCCCACTGCAGTAAGAAACTGCATCCCTATCCATTATGCAGGGGTTGCTGAAAAGAATCCTGAGAGCTTGCAAAGTGTGGCACACCAGGAAAGGAAGAATTCATCACACTGACTGAGCAGGGGGCATGAGAGAGTCATGTTAAACTGTATTGGAAAAACCTTCTGCAAACAGTGGGTAGAAATAACTAATGCTATTGAGGAAGGTCATCCTCATGCTTCTCACTGACTAAAGCTTGTAAGTGAGCTGAAATGGCATAAATACCTTTGAATGGAAACAGGTCTAAGACTGTAACCACAGCAAAGTAATCATTTTGCCCCCAAATTCTGCATTTTTAACAACAAAAAGCAAGTAAACAGCAATATGGTTCTCTGAGCTTTTACTTTAGTGCAATTATTATCATCCTGAGCCTTGCTACAGGCATTTACAAGTTTCAATTGCATACAAGAACATCATTTATTTTCCTTCTCAGGCAAATGCTTAAGTAGCATGCAATAGGATCTATAAATACTTTTTATATGTATTCATTTCTATTCTTTGTCTGAGTAATCAATCTTAAGGAGACATAAAATAAACAAACCGAGTCATTAAAAGAATTTAGTCTGTGAGTCCATTAATTTCTGATTTGTTGCTGATTTATCATTTCCTTTCCAAGTAATAGCATGTTAGTAATTGTTTTTTTTTTCTATGTGTTTGTGTGGCGATGCATTCTGGAGTTCAATATATATCAAATTAGCCAATCTGTCCTTTGGTGAAATTAATTTAGTAGTATTTATGCCTTCTCTTCCTGCTGGGTTCTCATTTAAAAGAGAATAATTGATGTTATATAAAAGTCATAAATTTAAGATTAAAGGTAAGGGTGGAAAAAGAATGCTCATGACACAAATCTCTCATACCATGAAATGAAAAATCACAATGGGAAATGTTGTGATTTATTGTTTTCATGACAGAGAATTACCACTGTAACTCCCCCCATCACAGCTAAAGAAGGATCTTGCTAACATTAGAGCAGGCAAAACCAACCTATGCAAAATCCTGCAGAGAAGCCAGAGCCTGAGACCCTGACACTTTCCCAATAAGGAACACACTAAGTGGACAGGAGTCGAGTTCCTGTATGAGAAGGGAGCTTTACTAATCTTCACTAACTAGCAGGCTGTAACAGTTAATCTTTTTGTTTGTTTCATTTTTATTTTTGTTTTTTGAGACAGGGTTTCTCTGTGTAGCTCTGGCTGTCCTGGAACTCACTCTGTAGACCAGGCTGCCCTCGAACTCATAGAGATCCGCCTGCCTCAGCCTCCGGAGGGCATTGATCAAAGGCATGCACCACCACACCTGGCTTGTTATGGTTAATCTTGATGGACTAACAAGATTATCACATCAAATGGAGAAGTGCCTGAGAGATTAGTGAAGCAGACCTCTAGATTTGTTTGTGATAACATTTTCAGGAACGATTAAGTGAATGGGGAGACTCACCTTGAATGTGAGCAGCATCACCCCACAGGCTAGAAGACCAGCTAGCATGAAAGAGGAATAAAGAAAAAACACAACATGGGCGTGCTTATATTCCTCTGTCTCTGTCTGTCTCTGTCTCTCTCTCTCTCTGTCTCTGTCTCTCTCTCTTAGTGTGTGTGTGTGTGTGTGTGTATGCGTGCGCGCTTTTCGGCTGCCCTAATCTGAGCTGTTCTACCTTATCACCCGTGATGGACTGAAACCTTTGAAACCACAAGCTTCCAAGGCAAATTTTTGACCTTTAATTTGCTCACGTGTGTCACAGCAATGAAAATTCCTAATAATCAGTCCTTCCTCAGTTTTTCCTGGTACTAACTCTACCGCAAAGTTAAGAGTAAGTTAAGTGCAGGGATTCAGGGGGCCAGGAGAAATTGATCAGTCAGTAAACTGATTACCTTGCAAGCATGAAGACCCATGTTAAAAAAAACAAAAACAAAAAACCCTGGCAAGCCTGCATTGGGGAGGTGGATCCCTGGAGCCCTAGCCTATCTTATCTATGGAGTTACAGGCAACAAGTGACCCTTTCCCAAAAAAGGAAGGATTGGCACTGTGGTGCCACACCTCAGGTTGTCCCTGGGGTGTCCCCACTCATATGCACACATGTGTTATGAACCCTACCAGAAAGTAAGTGGTTTTAATAAAGCAGAGATATCTTGCATATGATTTCCCTAGCGTCAATGGGTGTGGCTCAGTTTCCTAATTAATAGGTCAGGAAGAAATGCTAGGAGGAAGCAGAGTGTCCAGCCCAGGCTGTGGAGAGAAAATAACGGAAGATGAGTCAGATTCTGAGCCAGAGCGGAAACAATGAATTTTGAGGGAATAACAAGGTTAACGGTGTGGAAAGATCCATGTAAATATGGGTCGAGAAATCCGAACCACAAACGGATGTGGGGAGAGTCGTCACCTAGACTGTAACTGAAATCACAGAAACGGAAGACGTGACTGAAGAGGAGAATTGGAGCTTGGGAGACGGCTCCTCTCTGTAGGCTGGGGAAGGGCAGGAGGCAGGACTGCTCAGTGGGGAGCGTCCCAGCCCCGTGGCTTGCTGGGGCAAACAGAAAGCCCTGAGGAATGGGAGGGGCAGACCTCAGGAGATACCCCAGGGGACTGAATGGGTGCGCGGTAGTAGAGGCTAAGCCACACAAGAATGGGTTCCAGAGGGAATAAGTTAAAAGGGGGCTCCC